CTAAAACAAAAGGGTTTGAATTAATTCCATGGAACATAAAAAAAATCAAAGAACTTAAATAATATTATGATATTTTTTGAAGGAAATAAATATTTTTTTAGCATGAAAAAAAGAAGCCAAAATAAAAAGAAAATAAGAATTTAGAAGTAAAAAAAAAAAAAAAAAAAGAGGCAGCGGGCTTGGCTCGCTCATTGGGCCAACGCGCAGGCTCGCGCGTGCTTGAGTCAAGGGAACCAGGCAATGCCTAATCTAAGGAGGAAAAAAAAAAAAAAAAACATAACGAGAGAATGAAGTAGGCAGTCTGTGTGCGCCTGAGCCAAGAGAACTAGGCCACACCCAGCCTAAAAAAACAGAACGAGAGAATGAATATAGCGGACGACGCATAGTTCGTTTTCCGATCACCGAAAAGTTTCCTTGCCGAAATTTCAGACCTAATTTTTTTTTTTTTTTTTGCCTTTTCCAGATGAAGAAAAACCTCAAATTCACGCTAAATACCTCGAGAAACTTATTTCCAATCTCAAAACCCATTTATTTCTCTTTTGAAAAAAAAAAGACAATTCAATTATCAATTCTCTTTTTTATATGAAACTTTCATCTACTTTTTCTGATACCGTTGAACCTCTAAAGCACCGGTAATGAATTCCACATGTCGAAATCTTTTGATTGGAAGCAAAATCGACCCCGTACACTGCCAAATTACGGTGTTCCGTTATTTTCTCTCTCCTACTTCATTTTTCCAACCAGTCCCCCTCTCTCTCTAAAGAGTAATAGTGCAGAGATTTTTTTGAACATTTTTTTCCTCATATTAAGATTAAAATTAATGTTGTCAAATAAAAAAAAAATGAAAACGACGTTGTTTTGTTTTGTTTTTTATGTGAAAACGATACTGTTTTTGTAGGAGGATTATTCTTTATTTTGAAGAATAAAAAACCTCTTAAATTTTTATTTTTTTTATAATTCATTATCGTAGATACCGACATCACTTGAGGCTCCTTTTATTAGTTATATCTTATTACTGATTTATTGATTCAACCGAGGTCTTTTTTTCCATATATCGTTAAAAATTAATCAATTAAGTATCCATATATTTGTCCGGCAATTACCTTTTGTCGTAATAAGAAAAGTATTATTTTGAAAGGGAAATGACAAAAATAGAGATGTAGGGATATAGAAGTCGACAGTTGGCTAGCTGTTAACAGAACCCAACCTGGTTGACCTAACCTATCCAGGATATTGCTAGTTTGCTGCGCACCTTGGCTCAAGATGTGGCGAATATGCTAGCCACCATGGCTCAACCTATTGGCGACTCTTCATCTCCCTTTTTCATGTCAAAAGGACACCTTTGCAATTAGAGCTTTTTTTCTTTTTTTCTTTTTTTGTGTGTGCAAAAATATTTGATCAACTACGTAGCTTTGCTTTTATCTAGCGAGTTTTAAGATCAATAAAACTCATCTTCCATTTCCATTTAATGGTAGGAAAAAAAGAAGAAGAGTACAATAACTCCAGTCCCGTAAGTTATTTGTCAAAATATCCATAATTTCTAATAAAGTATTTCTTCAAAATACACTACTTTAATATAAGAATTGCACTCTTAAAATTGATTAAAAAGAAAATCTAACTTCAATTGATAAATAAATTGAATTAAAAATACCATGTACCGATGAATTAAAAAAATAACAATAATTTCTAAACAAATCAAATAATACAACTAATCCTTAAACAAAAATGGAAATTTAATCACATCTTTCTGTAATTTTTTTTTTTAATAGTAGCAACCATTGTTTTCATGATCTCTTTGAACTCTTGTCATGTTAAACCGTCAAGCATGCATAAAAAACATTGTTGGCAACTGGGAACTGATTATTGCCAGTCCCCCAAAATTAGAATACGAGTACAATTGACATTCAATCTCTCCTCTTCTGCTTTCGGCATCATTGCCATTCCTTTTTTCATATCTTCTGTTCTCACAGTCCCTCACCTCTTAATTTCTTTTATAGATAGTTAAATTATAACCCCAGCAAAAAAAAAAAAAAAAAAAAACAACTGTCAATCATGTTATATATACTAATATGGTTAAATGGGTTTTTTTTTTTCGAACTTCAAGTCATTTACAAACTGATTCCTAGATGAAAAAGTCAGAATTGATATCCTATAATTTTAGTCTATTTGAAATTGAGTTCTTTTATTAGATTTTGTAAGATTCCGTCCCCTGATTACCAGCTAAGAGTCACTACTTTTCTCTCTACTATTAGAATCAATACTTAATAGAGTTATTAATAGACGAAATCTAATAAAATTTAACAAAAAAAAAAAATTATTTTAAATAGGTTAAAATTGCATGAGGTTATTTTTCAATTTTTTTATTTAAAGACTAGTTTTCAAATAATTTAAAATTCAAGAAAATTTTGACCAAGTTATCCTACTAATTTAATTTGTTCTTCTTTGTACTCCATGAGAAAAAAAAAGGTAAAAAAAGAAGATATGCTAAAAATATATAATTGGTATAAATATGGACATCGAGTCTTACCGTAAATTGTAGAGAATGATGTTGTTGGTTTCAACAGGTAAGATTGGCATACGGTGGCTCTCGTACGGTTATGACACAGAAAAAGTGAGAATATATTAAGAAAGAGAAATACAGAGGCAAAAGAATAAATCAGGGGAATTACATAAGAATGTGATTTTGAGATTAAATTAATTTTGAATGTTTTTGAATCTATAAAAATTAACATATTTAGAAGTTGAAATTTTTTTATTTTTTAGAATAATTTAAATGAAAAATATGTATACATTTTTTATTGATTGAATTTTAAGGGGATGTAGCTTTGATATATATATATATATATATATATTTGATTGATCGATTTTTTGAGATAGTTTTTATGAATTTAGGTCTGTACTTTTATTTGATTGAATTTCGTATTGTTTATATATTTTTTGTGCTTTTCTTAGTTTTCAAGTGAATTTTCTTTCAAAATATAATTATATATATATATATATATATATATATATCTTTAAAATTAATCATGTAAAAAAATTTTGCTTAAAAAGTTAATTGATAGCTTATTCATGCAATTTGGGAGAAACTGAAATTTATAAAATAAAAGAGCATTTTTGTTAGTTTTTTCTAAGGAAAAGGTCATAAAAAAATCATTAATAAATAAGTAAAATGTCTAAGAGGGGATTGGTAAGGAACATATTTGATAGAATCGATCTACATGCGATAAAACATAATACTCCTATTAACAACATGTTGAGTTACAAAGACAGAGAAAAAAAGAGGAGAAAATAACATAGCACAAATGTGAAGAATATTACAAAATATTAACTAAAACACTAAAAGAAAATGATCATTTACTGTGTGTTTTTCTGCACGCTCAGAAACATTTGTACTGTTCACATACACTCATATATATACGGTTCATTTTACTATTTAGGCAAAAAAATTACACTTCGGTCCCTCATTTTTTCATAAAATTTCGTTCCAATCCCAAATTTTGTTTGCGTTGCAATGTGGTTTTTGGATGCTTGGATGATCTTGAACTTCATTTGTGTTGTAATGTGGTCTCTTGGAAGAGAGAGAAGGGAGGAAAGAGAGAGGGATGATGAGAATAATTTCGCTCATTTTCACAATCAAACTTACCACTAATTTGTTTGTCTTGAATAATAAAATTTGTTTGTAATAATAAAGTTATAAATAGTTGAAAAAGGTAGATCGAAATCCAAAAATATTTCGAGTTTTTTTAGTTTTATTTGAATTTTTGTTATTTTTTGTGCGTTAAAATGGATTTTGAGGCTACAAAAAAATTTGTTAACGTTATTTTGGTGATTTTGATGTGTCTTTAAACAAAAATATGGTTGACTTTGACTTGAAGAGATCGAAAACTCTAAGCTCTATTTTCCAACAACATTTCTAACAAAATGAATTTCACTAGAAATTACAGATTGACGATGAGTCGTCCGCTTTTAATTTTTTTTTTTAGTTTGGCGTGCAAGCTTGGTCCTCTTGCCCTATACGCACTGGCTTGGACCTCTAAGCCCAAGACCGTTGGGCTCGTCCTTCATGCTTAAGCGGGCGAGCATGCGCTAAAGTTTTGTTTTTTAATTTAATTTAATTTATTTTTATTCAATATTTTTGTCAAAATTTTAAAAATATATTTCAAAATCATTATGTAGATTTATTCAATTTATTTTTGAAATTTTATATTTAAAAAATTCTTATGTATAGATTTTCGTACAAGTTGATCATATATTAATTAATTGTAGCTTTATTTTCTGATACAATTTTATAAAAAATATATTTTTAAAGTATTTTTTGAATTTTAGATTAAATTTTTATTTAATAATCAATACATAAAGAAGAATGAATAATGTATTTTTAAGTAGAAAATTTATATAAAACACAAGAAAAAATTATTTGAATACAAGATTTTGATTAAAAAATTAAAAAAAAAGTTTTTTTTTTTAACTTTTGATTCAATATATTTAAATAGATTTGTATCATAACATCAATCATCAAATTAGAATGATTTTATTCTATTCGATCTATAATTTTGCACGGACAACCGATTGAGAAACTAACATTCTTGATTAATCTTAGAGAAAAACTTCTATTAAATCTATTTCTTAAACAAGCTCCATCTACTGTAATAATAAACATTATATATTTTATATGTATTGAAATAAATCTATATAAATAAATAAAATAAAATAATAACAACATAAATATCGCATAAAAAATTGTTATATTTAATTTATCACAGCAAACCACGTAACTTTTAACATATCAAAATAACAAAACAACATCAGAATAACAAATAAAAAAAATATATGCGGACTTGCCCGCAGCGAAAGCGTGAGTTCCAAACTAGTTACATACTATGCAATAAGGATGCCATCCCAGAAACCGACAATTTAGATCACATTTTTACTCGAACTGAATCATGATCACTTTTACCATATTTAATATACTGCTAACGTTCAGAAAATGCATGGCTCATTCATCGTTTCATGCCTTCTTCAACAACTGGTGCTGATTGAGCCATAGCCACTCCACCATTTTGTCTCTGCACATTCCCTTCCCATCCTAGCGAAGAAAGAAAAGAACCAATACAGATCAGCAACAAATAGCCTAAAAAATACACCACCATTCATGCAATTGTTTAAAGAGGCAAATGGATCTTGTACCCGAGGACCTTACCGATGGTCATATCAAATCCACGATGTTTGAGCTCTCTGTACTCTTGACATAGGGCACAAGCATCGCAACAGAAATGAATCAAACAGTCATTACAAGGTCTGTCCTCGAACATCAACTGCTTCCTCATTTTAGTCCGATATAAACACGAGTATATGCAAGGACAACCAGTAAGCCATAAAAGTACTCCATAAATTGCTCCACTTACAGCACAAGCTGTAACAAAAATCAAATCGCAACCGCACATCTAATTAATTATTTTAACTTGCCAACCCAAGTGAATGGCCATTGACTATCATAAAATGAGGTGTGTGCTAGAGATTATGTAATAAATGGTAATTATTGCCAAATTTTAAATGGTAATCTCCAGAGCAAACAAAAATCTAGTATTGTACTCACGTATTGTTCCTCTGTCTACAATCTCAGCAACCTGTCCAAAAGTGATGCACGGGCACCAACATGTGATGCAACCTACAATTAATTAATAATAGCAACAAATGTTAAGATGATTAATTAGTGACAAATCTCAGTAGAAATCCAGCAATTGTTATATATTGACTAGGAGCCGATGGCATTATAGAGAAATTACAATTAGGGATGTCAGAGAAGCAGTCACAGAGGCCTGAGGACCAACGACCGTGCTGCTCCTGTTCATGTTCAATTGGATATTGAGCATTAGTCTCACTGTAATGCTGGTTCATGGAGGGGCCAACCGGAAAGCCGGTCACCGGGGCTTGTAAGGTCGGTGGTGACTTTGGGTTCATCTCATGACCGGTGTCTTGCTTTGATGGGTACATGGTGATGACAAGTAGTACTGAGATTGTGGAAAATTATGTTAGCAACAAGAATGTAGAAGAGTAATAACTAGATAAGAAAATGACGGAGTAGAGTGGAAAATATCAGCTGAATTTGTGCATTATTTGTAGGTTGGGTGATGTTATAAATACATCGACCATTGTGCGAGGGAAAATTAGAAATTGTGTGGCTCATACACGTATAGGAGTGAGTCTTGCATTTTTTTCCAAGTCGTGGGACTCCATGACTTGGTCCTCAGTTGTGTTATTAATTTCACGCGGAAGTAGCTGGTAAAGTAGGGTCCAAAGCGCACGTAACGCTGCTTTGAGAGTTAGAGAAGCACTTTAAGCATTTATAAAATATGAATAGGTGAGAACTTCGCCTTTAAGAAACTCAAAAAAATAATTATAAGGTCTAAACTGGCGCAATTTCTTTGGCAATGAATAAAATATAACGAAGAGGTGGAAGGTCAACTTCTATGGGGTTTCCCCGCTATTTCTTTCCAGTTTCATAAATATTAGTAAATTTGTTTACTATTGCGTTGACATTGTAAAAACAAATTTAAATAATACGAAGTACAATTTTTTTTTTTTTAAGCATATGGAGTATTCATTACTGAAAAAGCCGCCATCAAAACAAACTGGGTATAATAATAAGTTAGACATGAAAAAAAAAAAAAAAAAAATATATATATATATATATATATATATATATTAAAAAATTGGATTATGAGATTATGAAACATAATTTTTTTATTGAATCAATACTTTTTTTATATATATTTACTGACAATAAGGTATCTTTGAACTAATTTTTGCATCAATTAAAATTAAAATTATTATTTTTAAGTTTAAATCACTATCGAATATGCTTAACTTTTGATTGATTACCGAATTCTCTTTTAAACTAAAATAGCTCAAGTTTTATGCTATCGAAAAATAACCATGACTAGTTATTTATGAATAATAAAAATTAAATCTTTATCTTAGTCAAATTAAGACAATTCGATCATATCTTTTGATGGTAAATATACCTTATTTATTAACTATCATTGGAAAACCACCCACTAAGAAAGGGAGGAATTGCCCCAGTATTGATGAATGCTATTGACATTGAAGAACATTGATGACAACTCTATAGGTGATGAGTTTTTGTATAATCAGCCCTAAAAACTGCCATCTGTCGTTCAATTTTTTATTTCTCAAAAGCTTAAGACAATTCTAGCGCAAACGATCATAGAGGTACCAAAAGATGTACAAGAGCTCATGGACCATTTTTAGTTCCACAAAATTAAATGGTTTTGAGAGAATGGGTTATTTTAATAGTGACCTATATCGAGTTTTTTTTTTTTGACAAACTATATGCTATGATTAATTTATTATAACAATGATAAAATTATAAATTTTAATCACAAAATTGCCTCACCAGAAAAATGAGAGAGAGTCAAAATTACTTCCGAAACTAATATGAATAGGACCTCCGTTTACCACACGCATCTATGGTGTATTTTAGACTTTTCAAGTACTTATTCATGGAGAATATGTATATATATATATGTCAAAACAAACAGGTCGCATCATTCAATCAGAGAGAGAAAAAAGAGGGTCATGAGTAGTTATGAAATGATCAATATTAGAAAATAATATAAATGATTTATGTAATTTTATGTAATAATTTAAAATTTTAATATGAGATAATTTTTTGATATGGTATTAAAATTATGTTAATTTAACTTTGAAGAGTTCAAAATATAATAACACGAGATAGTATTAGTATATACAAGTTTCAAATTCAAAAATAATATTAGAAATTGTGTTAAAAAATAATATAAATCATTTCTAAAACTTCATTTAACAATTTAAATTTTTAGATTGAAATGGTTCTTTAACAACCACGATAAAATTGATATTCAACCAAAATAAATAAATGAATATATTTAAATAGTAAAAAATCATGTAAATATATACAAATTAAAGAATATATAAAATTAAAAATGAGATAATGTCACTAGCTGATTTAGGTTAGAATTATTTTGCAAGAGTAGATAAAAATTACAGCTTGACTGGTCTATTTTATTGATTATTAACAAAAGGAAAATAAGGAAAAAGATAGAGCACCTTTTCATTGATCATGGGTGATTCATCATTGTGTCAGAAAATGAAGTACCATGATATAAGTTAAGCAAGATAATAGAACAAGCTTAAGGAAGGTTATATAATATATTGTGTAAAATCTAAATCTCCCATGTTGCTCGTGAAGGGAAATGGGAAAGGCTAAGTGTTGTATGCATCTTGCAGTGTCTCGGCTTGTTGTTATTGTATTGTAAGGAGCCATTTTCGCTTGCATCGGCACGCGATAGAATAATAGCAAGGCCCATTATTTATTTTTGATGATGTGCGCTCTGGTTTTTTGTTGTTTTGGGCTTTTAGCCCAGGTTAGACCAAAAAGTAAAACCAGCCATGTTCTTTAGGAAATCTGGTTGAACTCGGGAAACTTAATCCGGATTGATCGGTTAAGGTCCACGACTGGATGCGCCGACTGTTATTTCTGTAGGTGGTTCTCGCTGAATCGGCCGATCCAATTCAGTTCGGTTTTCACTCCCTTGTGGCCTGTGGGAAATACAAGGATTAGTATAGAGAGAAACAAGTTTTTACGAAGTACTAAAACGGTAAAAATTACAAAGAGGAGGGGTAAAAATTTTTACGCTTAGATATACACGTAATTGTACGGTAGGATACAATTCATAAATATTGCAAATCTCGTTCCATCACGGTTATAACTGGAATGGTCAGGTACCTCTTTCCAATAAAAGAAACGAAACAATAAAAGTTCAATTCTCTTTCTTTTTTGTATTTTTTTTAATGGAGTTCATTTAATTTTCTAAATGTTATTTACAAAGTATAATCGACAACATGATTGTGCATAAAAGTTGGAGTTGATCCTTTTTTATACAAATTACTTAATAAATAAACCTAAAGTAAAAATGAATGGTTAAATTATTTGACGCTTAGGGTATAAAGAGAGGAGTAATTTAACATTGTGACATTTGAGGCTTAGAATATAATAAGTGCACTAATTTTATAACGTGGAAACTTCCTGTTAGCCATATTCATTTACTGAAAAAAAATTATATATCAATCCCTAGTTCTATTTCACTTTCATCCTTATCTTTGACAATTTCTCCACACCAATCCTAAAGTTTGTAAAATGTTTTAAGAAGATCCTTCAAAATTGCATCCCTAATTTTTTAAAAAAAAAAAAAACGAAAAGAGCAAGATGTCTTGCTGTAGATACACTGTAACTCTAGATACAAGTGCAATGGGATTGAGCTTTATTCTATATTGTTTTTCAGGACCAAAAGTACGTCGTTCAAAATGCTTTTAGCATGAAAACGACCTAGCTTTTTTAAAAAAATTGTGATTATATATATATATATATATATGTGCGTAATTTGATCTTTTATTATTTGAGGTTTGTATGCACTTGTTTTTGAATTTTGTTTGTATTAAACATTTGTTTCGGGTTCTATTTCTAAAGTGAGAGGTGAAAATTCAAAAGAAAAATGAGAGAAACGACTTTTTTAATGATTAATTCGATGAAAAGAGATGTCAAAGAAATTGCATGAATGAGTTGAATTGATTAGTGTTAATGAAAGATTCATATGTGACTCAAAAATGCAGATATATTTTCATTTCAAAATTTTGATTTCAATTTAAAACCATTTAAAGGAAATTAGAATAGGTTCGAAGACGAAACCAAATTTATAGAGACTGTTAAGATGAGTTTGAAGTGTTTTTGGCTGAGAATAGTAGAAAAATTAGGTTTTGAAAGCCCATAGGCAGTGACGCTTGATTTTTCGAAGATAAGAGCGTCACAAGAAAAGACGCGTAGGTGATGCATCGTTCCAACTTCTCAGTGCACCACACCTTGTTTTTTTATGCATCATCGTTTATTTAAAAAAACAAAAAGAAAAAAGAAAAACGTTCTGGGTTTTCTAAGCTTGGTCCAATCACGTTGCGAATGGGCTTGAAGAGACGTTTATTTCCAAATATTTTTAGTTTTTAGGATTTTTTTTTTATAGAAAATCTATTTGTTTTTATTAGATTATCAAAATAATTTCTATGCTTAATTTCCCTTGCACAAATTTATTATATTGTTTTTATATATTTCACTTAAAATTATGTTGATTATTTTACGCAACTCCAAGCTTGACCTAAGAAAGCACGAGGGCCTGTTTACTAGTAGAATCTAATGCATTATATTAATATGGTTTTACTTCTGTTTCGCTCACTATTTCTGGAAGAAATTTTATGTTAGTCAAGCTTACTCGATAACAAAGAAATAAACACAGAAAACAAAGAGAGAAATAAAAAACATTAAGTCAATATAGAAATATTTTTATCATTTTTTATAAATTCGAATGAGATTTTTTTATCTTTTTCTTAAAAAGTAAGCCGTAAAGTACCTATTGTACGATAATTACTTTTGGTATTTTAAAATTTTAAAATTTCTCCCATTCCTGCCTATAGTATTTTAAAATTTCTCTCATTCCTGGCATCACCACTCATGAACTCTTTATAATTTACACATGCTTTGCTTGTCAATAACCTTAATTTGGTCTTAATTAACATACTAGCACTTTAAGACATTCAATTATTACCATCCACAAAAACAAAGGGGGAAAATGAGAGGTTAGGATAAAAAGCGCCCTTGTTCCACAAAATCAACTTCCTTAATTTCCTCATTAGATAGGCACAATTAGAATCTTTGACAATAACAGGGAGGGTGACCATTTTGCACACCACTAAAACCACCATGCTTTACATTGTAGGAATCAAGGGTGGGCTAAAAAGTATGCAAGAAGGCCCACTAAGGGAGCATTGATGTAAGTCGTGGGCTCTGACTCTTGAAAGAATGCCCTGGAATCTGGAAAAGCATCTGTGACGTTAGGCCCGCCAACAACTGCACCCACATGCACATTGGGGTTTGCATTTGGACTTAA